AAAAAAAAAAAAAAGTTCTATACATTTTGAAGATTACAAGTTCCATTCTCTTTTCATACAGGTAATTTCTTAAAGAGGAAATGAAGATAGCTAGATAGATATGGAAATATAAGGACACATACATATAATAAAGATTATAGAGTTGGTATAAAGAACGTCTGATTTACAGAAATTATTCACAGGTCTGGGGCTTTTAGGTTAAATTCCTGTAGCATTCTTAAAGGAAAGGCAAAACATTCCCTCTCTGGTCACAACGCAGTAATAACTTATCAATAATAATTGTTTTATTATTTGACTTTTGCTTGGCACTTGGGTGATAAACATAGTTTTTTCTCATTCCACTAATATTATCAAGGCTGCTTTATATGTTTATAGTCCTCAGCTAAGTTTTCATTATAATCCTGAACTAAATGCTGTGGTTGGTGCAGACAGATACTGTCTTTGGCCCCTGGAAAGTCAGTGTCTACAAGGGGAGAAAATATATAAATACAACATCCTCTGATGGCACCATAAGGCAGTAGGATATATGGCTAAGAGCTAAATATGCTGGGAGCAGTGTGGTCTAGTGCTAACTTTGCCACTAACTAGATACGTGACCTTGAGCAGGGCCCTCTCTTACGCCCCATGGGGCCCCATTTCCTTATATTTAAAATGAGAGAGCTGAGCTATTATCTCAAAGGGCCTAGTTAGCTAGGGAGCCAAGGCGTAGAAGAGGAAATGTTTACTAACAGCCATCCTAGCGAGGATGGAGAGCACTCCAGTTGTCTACCAATAGCTATTTGATCATCCCCTGCCCTCGGGGTTGCATTTGTCTGGGATTAACTGCACTATCAGGAAGGAAGTGTCCTAAATGGATCAACAGAACGGCTTTCATCTTGTCAAAGTGAGTAGCTTAGGTAATCTCAGGTTTAAGATCCCCAACCTCTAGCATGACCTTAGCCACTAGGATTGGTTTAGGATGCAGCCAATTGGAACGAAGTGCAGGATTTTTGCTGGGAATTCTCGGATGCAGAGCTTCTTCTTCGGTTGGGCAGTGGGAAAGCCTGGAAAGGCTGTAGTCACTCAGAAGAGAGATTGAGTCGATGCCAATGGAGAGCATCACCAAGAGGCTGATAGGAAAACAGTCAGAGTCTTCTAGAGGCCCAGAAAGAATTCACAAAGCTACCCCTGGAAGGGTATGATCTGAATAGGAAAAAAAGAAGGGAGACTCTTGGTATTGGGACAGATGGCAGGAATCTGGAGGGAATGTGCTGTGTACTTCAATGATGGCACCCTGCTTGGTTGAAGCAGAGAACGTGTATTCATTCAATATTAAACATCTGCGTTATAATACTCTTGACGCTGCCTGTGGTTGAGTTTGGCTGCGCAGCCATAGGGTTCAGGATGGAGGCATGGTGTGACCCAGTTCTCAAAGAGCTTATATCCAAGCAGAGGGACTAAAAGTCAACCACCAACTACAGTAGAGGAGGGATGACCCCTCATTCAGCTGCAAGGTCTGCCAAGGGCAAGAAGAGTTTCGAGAAGGGGGTTGTTTTTTGAATTCCTGCCTGGGAGGAATTATGATCCACATAGTATAGATAAGAGAACTATCCTTTGTGAGCAAAAATATCACATACCAAGTTAGACCATCATTACTGATAAGCCATAAAAGTACGTTCTGCCTTTCTTTTACACATTCCTTTAAGGATCACCTAAGATCACAAAAGCAACTAGCAGGTGGTAGAGTCAACAATTGACTCCAGGTCTTTCTGGCTTCAAAACCTCGGTGTAGACTCTTACTTCTCAAAATGTAGTCTGTGGGCCAAGAACATCAGCATCATCTAGGAGCAGGGGTGGCTATATAATTTGTATGGCCCAGTACAAAATAAAACTCTGGGTGCCTTATTCAAAATGAGGAAAAAAGGACCACTGAAGGTACCAAAAGATGAAGTTTTTCCTTGTCTTCCCCAGCCGCTCAACTTACGATGTTTTATATTTGCTGTTTAATGTCATTCTAAGAAAAGAAGGCTTCAGATTTTAAATTACTCGCATGGATTTACCATTCATCTTTTTATCATGTGATGCCAGTTTTAAATGGAAACGTAAAGTTAATTCATACGTGGAATCATCAAAATTACACCATTTGTATTTTGTAACTTGTACACACATTTGTATTTTGTTCTCATCAGAACAGAGGAAACACCGAACAAAGCAACTCAATTATTCTTATTATTTTACTTCTTAAAAAGCACATATTCTATCAATAATCTCTACCTTCTGCTTCATGATGAATAAGGAAGAACTGAAAGGAAATGGAACTTTTCCTTTCCTTGTGTGGCATAACTTTGGGCATAAGTGGTTGGCTAAGAGAGAGAAGTAACAGAAAGGATATGCTAGGGTTTCTTAGTCATTCATGATTCTTAG